ACTACTTTAGGCCTGGAAGTAGGATTCGTCACGTCATCACTTAATAATCGGATAGAGATGGAAATCAGTCAAGTAAAGTGTGCAAAGTTATGGGGCCATGGCCCTCTACCCCACTTACCAAGGAGCCAGACGTGATTTTTTATTGTTTTTTTCCAGGCATTTTGTGTCCCTGTGGATGTTTTTTTGCACTCTTTGTGGTTGTTTTTGGTCGCTTTGAGTGTATTTCTTTTGCATCCCTCTAAACATTTTGTGTCTGTTTGTGCTCATCTTGCATCTTTATGGGTGATTTGTGCCTCTTTATGACTGCTCTGTGATCATATAACAGCGGTATGCACATGAATATGGAGAATGTGTGGGTTTTTGTTACTGGAGTCTTTCTGGGTTTCTAGTTCATTCATAGTTTCACTGAAAAAACGAGCTCTCTTGAATTTATGTAAGCATCTTGCATTTAATACAACTGCCTCATGTTTGAGTGACTTGTGTTAATTTAACTCAGTTGTTTAAGTTGCTGCCAAAGCAAATATTTGTGTGCAACAAATGTCCACTTTTGAATTAAGCCAATCCTGTTGTGTTTGCCTGCATGTAAACAGTGTGGTGTCGAGACCAAAATCTAGGCTGTATTTGCCAAAATACAAACTTCAAAACTACCTGACATCCATTGATGATTCAGTGTGTTTAAACCAATCCACTTTTAGTAATAACAGGCACACAGAACATTAAGTTTCAGGTCACTTCAAAGTCATAAATGTGTACTATCAAACCCTTTCAAGCTAGACTTACAAAATAAAACAAAGACTGTGAATATGGACTTGAAATAGATAACAAGCTACAAATCCATATTTGTGGGTTAAGGTCCTTGTAGAGCAAAATTGAGTATTTTGGTCTAAATAACCCAAAATGTGATGTCCACATATGTGGACGCCAGGTCCTAGGAGGTTAAGCTATATTCTGCACAAACAAATACAAAACATAAGATGCTTTCTTCAGTCTCTAATCCACTCTTGATTTGCTCTTGTCCTTAAGCACAAAGATTTAAAATTCAATCACAGTGACGTATGTTTTTGTTTTTAACTACAAAAGCCTAATTTTCAGAATTAAGACATTCAAGCCATGCTCACAAGTGAGGAGAGGACCCAAGAAAACAGATGGCAGGCAGACGTTGCCACAGCAGGGATCTTCTGGTTTTTATTGGCAATGACAACTTGGTACAAAAAGTGCTTTCTGGGTGCTGCGGGAGCTCAGCATGCACAGCCCAGACCAGGGCTGCAGAATAGTCAGTGCAGGATCAGGATCAATGTCCACTGTCTCTTTACAGGCCTAAAATGCCTTATGAACTTGACCTTATACAGCTATACTTCTCAGGGAGGCCAGAGACAAGATAGAAGTTAAGACACATTGCTTTATCTTTGTCTCGTGGAAATGTAATGCTATTCAGTTTTTCCCTCCCAGTTAGCCCAAAACTATGGAGTCAGCTCGAGATTTTGGAGTGAATGGTGTGAATAAAGCATCAAATTAGCCTTATAGCCTACACACCACTGAGGTCAGGTCTAATTGCATGGAAAAACATTGTCTTTAATCAGTGTGAGTGCCTCAAAGCAGACCATGACAAAACCTGCCAGTACCTAAATATAACCACTAATCACAGGAATCTTAAAATTATTAATTTTAAGCAAAGTTTTACTCTAATTATAAAACATGAAAAACAATACCTGGATATTTTAAGAAATTACACTTGCACATTACAGTTGCATGAAAAGATTAGTTACTTTCATGTTTGTGTCTTAAGAGCAGAGCTAGACCCAGAAGGTGATCAGCCTAGCGTAGCGTAAACACTGATAGTAGCAATATATAGCTAACCAGACTTTGTCCACAGAAAAAGATAAACCCAACAACACTGCTATAGTTTGACACACTTACACCATATGTGTTTAATCTGCACAAAAACAGTGATTTACCATAAAAGGTAGAACTATGCTATCATAATTAGCATAAACTATGCTGTCTCCCAATTCAAACATTTTTTAAATTAAGCTAGCTTACCTATTTAAAAAGTACGTGTGTTCTCGTTTGTACAAGGCCAATGTGGGCAATAAATCTGAAGAAGCCAAAAGTAGATTTAATTTAAAACTGATATTCTGTTAAATGTTCTAAAATTGAATTTGCTTAAAGCATGAAATAAAACGTTTTGGTCTTGGTTTCTGAAACTGTTTCATCCCTCTACTCACTGGCTTTGCAGTTGTCTGACTTCAGCCCTGGTCAGGGCCTTGACAAATAAACCTTCCAGGCAAATGCAGTCCTAGAGCAGCATTCACAGAGAACAACAAGGAGGCTTCATGCAGTTGTGTATCAACTCTTTGTCATGGTGGATATGTTTCATCTCAAAATATTACAGGCACTTCATCAGTATTCCATCTGCAGCACAATCTGATCACACAATCTGTTTCACATCTGTAATACAACCTGGGATCTTGAACTGGGCATGCAGATATATAAATACAATCCTGGGATGTATTTAAAAACATTAAACATTTACTATTTTTTTAAAAATATAATAGATATGATAGATTCTATACAACAACTCAACATGCATAAAATATATATAATCTGTGCAGTAAATATAATTCATGTCACTATTCACACTCACAAGTACGAAGCCGGCTGAAGAGGAGTGCTGATATTATTTTACCCACTGCAGAGAAATGCTTCTTCATGGGGGATTGTCAAATTTCTCTCTACATACTTTAAAATAAAACTGATTATCAAATGTGGATTGTTCGGACTCATCTGCCAAAGATCATAGTAGATTAGGAAGAATAAATACATTTAAGGATGCGCTGTGTCATCACTAACGTTAATGCAACAAAGAGGATTTGGATACTTTGGAAGTAATTAATAATCCCAATCTGGTAGAAGACACATTTTTTAGGAATTCTAGATAGCTGACTTAAAAGGAAAAACTTATCTTTTTGCTAAACCCCTAAATTAGTTAATTGTCAATTAATTGTAATTGTCAGTTCAGTGCCTTTTGGACAACAAAATGTAAGTTTAGATGATTTAACAGTTGTGTTTTTAGATTTTTTTTTCCTTTTCAAAGTGAAACCTTACCTCACTATGCTAATTCTCACTATATTTGGACAGTGTTGGTTCTTTGTTGAAATAATGCCCTATAATTTCCATGTCTTCTTTAGCTAGGAAAGATACATATGTCCGATCAATGTCATGTTAGCCTTACTCTCAAAGAGCTAAATTACAGAGGCATGTTATCACGTGTGCAGTCATTACAGCAGTTTTAAGACCCTTTGGTAGGTTTTTCATTTTCTATGAATCACAATTACTTGCTTCTTACACCCAAATAAAGTCCGTGATTTCCACATATATAAAAACTTGTACATTCTTCTCAAAAACATTGTTATACTTTTCAAAATGACTATTAATTTGAGAAAAAAAATAGTTCAATTAAAAATATTTATGGGCGAATCGCAGCTGTCTGTATCAAACAAACATTGATGGGATTTGGTTGGCTTTGTCTTTAGAGGGTTTAAACTGAACTACGTCACAGTGTAGAAAATAAAAAAATTATCTGGATGCCTATGTAAGGTAACTGCAGCACTCCTAATCATCATCCATGCTTCGTATAATGTACACCTGAAGTAGTTGTCATTACGCATCTACAATCTTAGCATTTACAGCATTTACAGCTTGGTTCCTGTGCTAAATTGATACAAAATGAGTCCATTCACCTATGTCCCTCAACAAGTGACTCATGTTCATATAAAAGGAAAAAAAGATAAAAAGTTGTCTTTCTTCTGCTGGAAACGTCCCTGAACGAAACATAACAAATCACGGAGTAATCAGAAGCTGTTCAGATATTGTGGCTTACTTTCTTGATAAGCACTTGTTCAAACGCTGACATTTCCTTTTTCTGAAGATTTACAAAAAGGTCACTGATAATGGAAAAACTAGGCAAGTATGTTAAAAAGGTGAAAGTCCTTTTTTTGGAGGGGGTATGCTAACACATTAAACACAATGAATCGGCCCTGATTTCTAATGCATGGCGTCACCTCATGGCCACCAACCTCGAGTCATTTCCGATCACAGTTTTATTAATTGCTAAAGAGACTGTGTTGTCACCTGACCAAAGAAAACAAACACTCGAGTAAACACATCTCTGCTCTCAGTGTGCGAACCCCTGAGGGTTCAGCTACAGTATTTCTCCACACAAACAAAAATAATCCCCCGATTCAGGCTGCGCTCCTGCCTTATGACTCAAAGATGCTCAGATGGGAAAAGGAAGAGCATTAGCAGCAGCATTACCCTCATCACCATCACACTGTACGGTTTCACTGCCATAACTACCAATTAACACAGAGTGTGACTGGGGGGAAAAAACACACACACACACACTTCCAGGGTAATTCATTGGCGGTTCTTAACAGCTGCAGTGAGATATTTAAAGCCTCTTTTGAGCTCAGCATTGATGGATGTTGAAATGAGCTTTGCCCTGTGAAGGAGACTGAGCTGAAGCCAAATAACATCATTCAGGATTGATGAGGCTCATCCCAATGGGTTTAAGAGCCTCCAGCTGCTGGTCTTCCTGCCTGTTGTAGCACGAGCGTCAGGAGAATATGAATGAGCGCTGAATGTGAATGAGACATCCTTCTTCTCCAACTGAATCAGAAAATATTGGTTCCTTTTTCAAGTATGTCACGGGTACGTGATCCTTCAGTCATATTTCTGCACTGAAAAACGCAACTAAAATGTCAGTGAGAGCTGCCTTACAATTTTAGGGTAAGCACAAAAACAAAACAAAAAAAAAGACATGTTATTGCGGTTATAGTACCACTTGCCCAAAAACTTGTCTTGTGATCTGTTCCTTTGCTGCACTGCTTAGGTCACTGTTTGAACGTAATCACCTTTGAATATTTAGTAAGTTTATATCTTGTTTATTTAAACTACACAAAGCTTTTTCACAACGCATTCACCGTGAGTAAACTTTATAGATTAAATTAGCCCTTTAATCTTATCATTTAGCATGTTTACAACAGCTGCAATCCAGAGAATGTAAATACAAAGATGATAGTACTCTAGAATACTTTGGTATCTACCAAATCACCACCTCGCCACCACCGTGCTTGTTTGTGCTGAGCGGCTGTTCGGTTGTCACCAAAACGTGATCGTCCTCATCATAAACAAACATCTCTACTTTGGTCTCATCAGTCTCAAATACATTGTTCCAGGAGCCTTCTGGTTTAATGCAGCTTGGCAAAGATAAACCATACTGGCATGTTCTTCTGTTTTAATATTGATGCTCACACTTAATATTGTGCGTTTGACCAGCAGCACCTAACTGCTACTTTCCCTCTTAATTCCTACAAAAGCAGCAAGGGTGTATTTTTTCACAAAGTACTTCTGCATTTTGGCTTAATTGTTGTTACAGAAAAGATGATTTAAAATTGACATTCTTTAGAGGTTTTAATATCTAATTTTAAGAACCACCAATTTGAATGAAACCCTTTTTTATTTGAATCATTAAATTTCTGTGTGATGACTTAATTAAATTTGTATCTTTTTGTTACAGATTACATAACAATTTGCCTACAGGTAGTAAGGGTTTCTGTATTGGATTTAGTATTGTCGATCATGTGGAGTTATTGGAGTAAACAATACCCTGACTAAGCACAAAAGTTGATTTTTGACCTGCTAAACAGGAATCCAAATGAGTCAGATTAGCTACTTTTTTGTCGTTTGTCACTTAAACTCTAAGAAAACCACATCAGTTTGCTTTCTGTGGGATTAGCTCTCCAGCAGCACCCTTGAATCCACAAATTACCACCAGCTTTTCCCAACAAATCTGCTTTTTGTCAGTTTCAGGACGTTTTTTGGTCAACTTTCTGATAAAGTTAAAATAAATAGAATTTATTTTTTAGTTAAAATGTCAGGTTGGGCGATATGTAAAAATTTTCCAACCAACAATTTGACGATCCAACGATGGACCATATACTCACACAGGTGCGGAGCAAGTAATCATGCACGGACTGATTTGCACATTTAGAATTTATACGTTTTGTTTGGAGGGAATATTTTACCGTCTCTTCTTGTTTGTTTCAGTATTACTACAGCTACTTTTTGGATTATTTATTTATTTATTTATTTGAAATGCACCAAATCACAACAACTATATCGTCAATAGTCAATATATTCGTCCGATCGCCCAGCCTTATTAAAAAGTCTGATTTTAATCCACTGAGACGGTGTAGAAAACTTTGGAGGCTGTTTAAAGAAACAAAACAAAACAAAGACCCCCTAATTAACAGATGCCAATGAAGTATAGACACAGGTAACTGACGTCATCCAATTTGAAAATAATAACATTTTAATTTTTGTGAGAGAAGCTATCATATATTTATATATACATTTATCTATTTAGAAATAGTTTCATTTTTTTGTGTTTACAGTTACAGATATTTGCATTTTACCAGCTAACCAAGCTCTCTAAGCTCAGTGGAAAGGTGTAAATTGCAGTAACATATCACTTGAATGTATTTCTCACAAGTCTCTATGCTTTTAAATCACTCCATTCAGGCTAGCAGTGGGATTTAACCAGTGAGTATACAATTGGTTAAACTGATGGGCAGCCATGTGCTTGTGCTCTGATATAAATGATGTTACATCATAAGATCTTAATGAAAAGATGTCTGATGTACTGCAGAGCTCACTGAACACTTACTGAATAATTTTGCTAGTTTTTGTGACCTAAATGAACTTCCTCATATAACGTTGATCATTCTCGACCCATAACAAAAATGCAAATCTGTGACACTTCTGACAGGATGTGCCACTAATATTTCCAGAATGTCGAATCTCCCAATTTCTTCCCTGCAGTTTAGTTTACAGAGGACAAATGTCCTGCAGTGAAGTGTGAGAGATAACAAGACAAAAATATTTGACTTCATTCTGCCAATTCAGGAGTAAATTTAATGCCTTCAATGTCTTTTTATAGCCTTTAAATATTTTTTCTTTCCTGAAACATGAATTGAAAGCTTGTATTTTAAACCGATTACAGCCTGAGGACCGATGACTTTGTCCTGCATGCTGACACAAACTAACCATCTGTGCTGGATGTAAAAATTGGGGAGATTCTGTGAATCACTGAGGCCTGAAATCTTAACCATAATAATCCACTCTCTAAATCAAGGCTTTCCTTTTCTTTTCCAAAAGCTCTAAATCTGTCTAACTACAGAATAAAAAAATATAAGAAAAACCACAGAAGAAAGTAAAGTCCTGCCCGACAGTTATTTTATGCCTCTAGCAGGACGTGCCAGCGGCAGACCTGCTGTCCTCGACCCTCCCTCATGTCCTGCCAGTGAAGCTGCTCTTCATCGCCGCTGCTGTTCTGGCCCAGAGCGATCCAACCCACCATCTCCTTGCGCTTCATGCTGCGGCGGTTGTAGATAGAGATCAGCAGAGTGACATCTGACAGCTGGAACAGAGCAACCTGGAAGATAAATGTCTCCTTGTACACGGGGTTGGGCTGACCACGGCGTACTGTCGTCTTAGTCCGACAGATCTCTTGACCAACTGAATTCAGCAGAGTCAGTCGTCCATAGGTGTCTGGACCAATGGGGAGGAGGGAAGAGGAGAAGTGATGAAGAAGAGAAGAGATTGTTATGAATGCCATTTCAGTTTGGCTGGATGTTTTTGCATGTATACAGTGAACACGTGTACCAAATGTATATAATTCGATTGTTTGTGTGTATGTGTGAGAGAGGCTCCCTGCAGACCTGGTGGCCTGTTCATGGCAAGGTTTCTGAAGTGGCTGCCCTTGATGAGCTCCACAGACATGCGTCCCGTTGTGGCATTGTAGGAGAGACCCACCAGCAGTTCAGGGACGCCACCGTGGGTCAGAGACTGGGTTGATGAGGCGCTGTCGCTCTGAGAGACGGCAGACAGGCTGAGCTGGGAGTCGACACTCTGAGGAATAAAAACAAGTGTGGTGGCTACAGATACGCTGACCAGAAACCTCCCAAAATCCTTTTTAAATTCAGTTACACCCAAAACTTGACGGCATTTTTCCTACTTACCTTCAGGTTACTTCTAGGCTCCAGGACTAGTGTCGTTTCCATCGTCCCCCCGTCTGGGTTAAGTCCTCGTAAACGCAGCACTTTCTCCCCCATCATTCGCTCACGTGATATCCTGCTACCCAGCGCATACAGCCTGAACCTGATAGCTGACTTCTGCAGGTCGGATGGCTCCAGGCGCGAGAAGCGAAACGTCTCGTTGAAGTGCGGGAGTGAGCCTTTCTGCACGGAGGTCTTGTGTCGCTGTTTCTTGGAGGGCAGCAGGACCACATGCACCTGCCAGGCGCTCATCCCACTTCGAGCCTTGTCGGGGATATCTCGGGCCGCAATCACAGTGACCAGCAGTTTTTCTGCGGCAGGACGGTACTCCAGGGAGAGGACCAGATCTCCACACTTGGAGATAGGAGTTCGAGGGGAAGAACAGCCTGGCTGAGACGAGACTTCGCCAAGAGGAGGTGGCTCTTCCTGGCAAAGTAAGAAGAGAAATCATCACAAACACACTACACCAACCTGTAGTTTAACCTTTTGCTAAGGAGGACAGCTGCAGTCAGTGGATTCTAGTGGTAACCAGTTTATGACTTAAATAAGCAAAAGTATGTTAGCACAAAAAAATTTCATTGTCACCTTCTTATTTCAAGGGATTTTCTGGCTTTTTATTCACCTGTCAGTCATAATAATCACTTTCTTTTAAATGTCCAGAGAGACAAAGTGAGCAGAAATGCGATCCTGAAGCATACATAAGCCCCCTCCTGCATCTCCCCAACCCCTGCAGTTAAATGCTCCCGTGCAGTCAGCAAACACAACATCGATTGTGTCAAGTGTTGACCGAGCGGGCCGAGTGTTGCTGTCGACATGGCAACCACTGGGGAGATAAGATAATCAGAGGGCTGCCGAGGTCTACTGGATGTGCAGGTCAGGAGATGCACACATAAAAGATAAAAACATAAGAATGGACCTCCACCTGAAAAAAAGCATTAACGTTTACTGCTGCTAGTAACAGGAAGTAGTAGCTCATGTGACCAATGTAGCAGTGGGGTGGCATCAGTATAAATGTGCAAACAATAAAAGCATAACTTTCAATTTAAACATCACAGACCTTTATCATTAGTGGCCCAAGTTAAATGAAGAATTATTACCTTACAAAGCGATCTCCACGAAAAAATAATTTCTGTTATTTTGTTTACTAAAATATGAGAATTAAGTTTTACACCACCTGTTCCTACTAATTGTTCACTAGCTGTTGTTTTTAACATATTTTTTATTTTTTATTTAGTTGAGATAAAAAATAAAATCAGAGACATCTTTAATAATCCTAAGTAACAGTTTAAAAAAACTATCACAAGCAATGTCTGTGAACTTCAGAATACCACATATTTAAATCTTATTGATTGCTATCGACCTAAAAGACGGCCAAAATAAAAAAAACCCACAAGATTCAGACTGCTCTAAATGCTTATATCTCTACATGTCCTTGTTTTTTTTATGATGGCACTGAGAGCCAATATACAGTAAGTAATTTGGTCATAGCACCCTGCTCTTAAGAACAGCAGCCCCCCATCCATGTAGTCTATATTTCAAATTTATTTGAGAGGGGCAGCCAATCAGGAGAAAGTCAGTTTAAAAGGAGAGCAGTTTCAGTTTTACAAATGCCAATTTAATGCTTAATAGTTTAATAGGAAAGGTTCCCATTAAATATACAGGTTGCTCATCACTGGACTTGCACAAGCCATGGTTTCAGGTTTAAACAAACTGTAGCTGTTGGTGTCCACACACTGAAGTAAAGGTGTGTAATTGTCACTGATAGTTTCTTCTACAAGTGAACGTTTAAAAAAAATAGCACTGGGCTACATTAAAAAATGTTCCTTTATACATTCTTGTATTTTGCCATCAAGTGTTTTAGAGATGCTTTTTTGCTTATGTGGGCTTCACACGCTGCCGTGTAACAACCATATTCCATAAATACTTCTAATCAGAGTTGACTGGTGGGTGATGATGGTTATCTTGGTTACGTGATAAGAGATTAATCTATTACTGATGCATGATGTGGTTTTACAGATTTAAAAAGTTTTGTGGTTGTGTCTGTGGGTTCCAGACAAACCTGAAACATGAAGGTAGTATGAAACAGGTATAACGGCAGTAAACATAGCAGAAAGGGTGGTATTATTAGCAGCTGTAATATTTGCTGTATCTTTAACCACGAGCGGGGCTGTTATATAACTCTATAAATAAACTGCTAACAAAAAAAGGCTCTCCTGGGTTTCTGTAGCTCTGCAGCCCCTCTGATCCAACCTCATTTGTTATTTATGAAGCGTTTCTAGATTTCAGTATCACCCAGTGTGTGTGTGTGTGTGTGTGTGTGTGTGTGTGTGTGTGTGTGGGAGGTGTTTACAGCACAGATTGCGCCCAATTTCAAAGTGTGATTCGGTCACTAAGAGGTTGTGAATTCTACAAACACACAAACGATATACACATATATACAAAATACACAAATACCACACAGAGCAGGAATATTTGCATATGTATGCATGCTTTTTTTACACACGCACACACAAAATAATAATTACAATCAATGTTATATCTCAATAGTCACTGAGGTTGAAGGATTTGACTGTTCTGCATAAGCAGAGGTTGGCAACATTCACTCCTATACAACACTGATTACGGCAGCATATGCATTAAAGACAGGTGATTTACTACAGTAATTAGTACAAAGATCTCACTGAGGACTGAGACTAAAAGAAGAAGCATGTGTATGTGTGGCAGACAGAGAGAGAAGCGTGTGTCTTTCTTCTGCAACGTAGCTGAACAAGTGACCAAAGAGAAGAACGAGCACGTGTGGCAGGATCCTTACATTTCCTCACCATGTGCAAAGGTGTGATTATGTGCAATAATGGTGTCAGCTCAATAATAAAAGTTGGTAGTTAGCATGCAAGACCTTGGTGTATGTAGTAAATGCAGGAACAAAACCATCAAGAAGATCATCATAAAATAAATGAAAGCCCAAACTCTTAACCATGTGTTATGAAAAACTATGATGTACCAGGGAGGTTTACTAGATCGTGGATCAGTCATTGATCAGAGTGATACTCCATGTGCTAGATCCGAGCAAGCAAGCGTTGTGCTCCACTTCAGCTGGCCCAGACACACAGCGAACTTCTCTTTGTTAGCTGCGTTAGCACTCTGAGCTAACATGCTGCTGTTATTGCTCCTAGTGACTGCGATCAGAAGCTCTGGAGCTTGGAGAGGTCATAGGAGTGAAGAGCAGGCTTCCCACTACAGAGGTAGGAGTGAAAAAGAGCCTGACAATAACTGGTAAATTCCTGAATTAGTCATAACTCGGGATGCTAGCAATACTTGAATAGCTCTATCTTGATAAGAACCAAAACAAATCCTGTTTTACCTCGTTTTTCAGGAACGTGCTAACTCAGGAGTGACATCACTCCCAAATTCGAAGGTATTGGGAACACGGCAGTATGGCCGCCTGTGATTTTGTCTTGCAGGTAAAAGGTGTCCGATTACAGATCTAGGAGGTGGTCATTCACCTCTTGGAGGGTGATATTGAATCAATGGATCTACAGTCTTGCTTTGGATTGTACGACACCATTATTCACAAATAAATAAGCAAAGAATGTATCAGCAATTTATGTGAAATCTCAGAGAGCTGTGGTTGGTTTGTTTCTTCCAACGTGAACCTGAGCGGCTTACCACAGCAGAGTGGTAATCCTCTCACAACTGAGTGACGATGATACCTCTGCCAAGCATGATGGGAACAGCAGGGGCTCAATGACCCCGTTAAGTAATCCATGCACCACTTTATTTATTTATTTATTCATTTATTTACTTTTAACTTTCTGGTCATTGATGTGAATAAAAAACTGCATTTGTTTCCCATTTTCCTAGACATGAGGTGCGGCTCAAGACTTTTGCACAGTACTGTATTGCAGTATTGATTGATTGAAATTAAGAAAATTCTCTGATGTGTTTATCCAATAAATGCTTCTTTTCTCATTTAAATAGATGTAAGACAGTGTAAACTTAATGCTTGTCTCCACTTTTACAAGGTCCAGTGTTATCAAACACACCAATGACTAGAAATGGTTAATGTCTGATTGTAGTACCTCTGGGGTCCAGGCGGAGGGGCTTTCTGTGACCTCATTCTTGTCATGATCCACTGCTTCCGTAGATTGCTGGTCCATACTCACGGTGGGACAGTCACTGGAGGCCAGTGGGTGGTCTCCTGCAGGTCTGTCCAAAGAGAGCATGGATGCCCTTTCTTTTGCTTCTACCACCGCAGAGAGCGGATCCTGGAAACCCTGTTGGCTTTGAGCTGCCGTTTCTGCAGGAACAAGAGCACTTGTTTTTAAACTGGTGGTGAAAGGATACTTTATATTTACACTGGAACTTTTCATCGTCCTACTTTTATCTCACTCACTTTTATGGTTAAAAGTGCAAAATTCCTAATGGGACAAGTAACAAAAAAAAGTAACAGCAGTTATTATTGTGCACTCACAGCATTGAAGATGTACAAGCAGTTACTAATAATTTTTAGATTATTTGAATGTGTAGAATGTATGTATGTCATGGTCATTTATAGCTTTTAATTATTTTGTTGAACTGTTCTTTTTCCAGGTTAAAATGATTGCACGACACATCTTTAATTATTTCAAAAAGCAAGAACTGCATGCACAAGTTAGAATTTATTTGGGATTTTCTCGAACCCACACATGGCCAAACTTACACATACAGACTCAAATATATACATACATTCTCCTAAATCCTTTAGTGGTTTAGTAGTGCTGAAGGTTCTACGATGTCCTTTAAATGATTGACTACAACTGGTAGTTTCTTTGACAGCATTCATTGTATGACCAATATTCAGAACAATGGGAAAGTCCCAGGAAGTCAGTGAAGATATGGTCTTTTACAACCTATTTAAAACAACTGCCGATTCCAAGATCATCAACTATACATAAGTACAAGTTATTTAGATGTGTGACCACTTTGCCAGAGTCTAGAAGAAAATGCAAATTGGGACCCTCAGATGAGGCGAAACTACTTGTAAACTAGTAGCATCAATGTTCCCTTTGAAATAAGTTTTACATCATCATGGATCGAGAGAGCGCTGACCAAGAAAGACTGACTTTTCTCAAAAGAACCTTAAAACCCTGCTCAGAAATGTTACGGCAAAATGCAATGGAAATTTTTGCACATCAGGTGTGCACGTACAATTACTGGAAAACTGTGAGTCGGTGCTTCAAATGTTTCAGCTTGATTAAGAAACTTATACTTGCATCATGAATGTAAAATGTATGTGTAACAGTATGTATCCTCACCTAATATATGTGCTCTCTGTGCAGTAATCCAGCAGTGAAACTCTTCCTAACAGAACGAGGTGAACATGTAAATATAGCTGCCACCTACATCAACACAAATTACTGAAATTAGACCTAGGTGGACATGAATATCTCCTCTAGTATACCATCTAATTTAGTCTTAAAGGTCTAAATGCAGTTTTCTAACCTTGTTTAGCACAGCAGTGTGTTAACAGGAGGGATATTGTGCAATTTGACAACCCTTGGCCTTTTCCTAACGCAGGAACACTCGGAGAACAAGCCGTACCTCAGACCAATCAATAGCAATTATCTCCAATTCTCTGTCATTAAGGTCGGCCTGACTGTTATATCAATGGCTGCATAGAGAGTTCACCATAGCAACAAGCTGAGGTAAGTCATCATTCTGTGTGTGTGTGTGTGTGTGTGTGTGTGTGTGTGTGTGTGTTGTTTATAAAGGTGGAAATATATAACAGAAGCTGAAACAGAGTGACCCTGACCAAACCATGTCACCACCCCCACCAACCACCTGCTGCTCATGTTATAATGAAGAGTAAGTTCAGGGTTTTTCTAAATATTTGTCTGTGATTGCTGCAAAAAAGCAAATAAGGGTGCTGTTCGTGCAGTAAGTTATGTAGCAGCTGAGCGGGGTGTGAATGAGATAATGATAATGAGTGATTTTGATCATTTGATCCACTGGCAAACAAATCTACAAAAAACACAAATAGAGTAAACAAAATAGTGTAAAAAAAAGAGAGCTGGTTTGTTTGCAACGTTCTAATTCTTCCTTATCCTCGGGCTTTTCTTAAAATAAACAAACAAACCAACAAGCACAAAGTGTCATATGCCTCCATCTTTCCACGCTCTCTCCCTGAGCTCTTTACAGCCTCTAATCTCCAGGAAAAACAGTATTTGAGGCTTTTTGGATTCATCAGGACAGATTAGTAGATGACTACTGCTGGCTAAGTCTTTATCTATCATTATTCCCAAATCAGTATCTGGATGAGTACCTTCACAGTCTGATGGCTCAGTGCTGCCCTCCTCCTGGTCTGATAGTCGGGTAAATTTGTGTCGTCGACCCAGTGACAGGTGAGTCTGCTGGGGCTGCTGCTCACCGATGTTTGCTGCTGCGGTGCGAAAATTCTGTGAACGAGACACGGACATCTCAAACTGCCTCAGGATCTCATCTTCGCTGTCTGACGAGCTGGAGGCATCGTCGTCGTCGTCACCGTAGCTGTTCACTGGAGGGAGGTAAAGACAGGGAAACAGAGGGACTCACAAATGGGAAAAGCTGGGAGAGTTCAGGAGAGGAGGAGAGGAAATCCAGATGAAAGGAAAACATTTGAAAAGACACTGACAAAACTAAAGGAGAAACTTCTTGGACAGACTATCCTACAGACCCAAAGGACACCAACAGAACTAAGAAGGTCAAGAGCCTCCAGTTTGGTGTACACGCCAGTTAAGACTTTAAAGTCTAATTACTCTGTTACTCTGTCATATGCCTGTAACTAGAATTTAATTGCACTTGACTTGGCTATTGTTGTCTGTGTGTTTGTCAAAAACACAAAAGGTTTTTTGTGAAAGAACAATTAACTACCACCTACCAACCAACATGTCAAAACCATTCAGTGTTGCGGAGGAGGAAAATAATTCCTCTACGAGAGGTAAATAAGCGAGATCACATTTAAAGCTGTGCTCAGCCTCAGTCTGTTCAAAATAACGACGCGTATTAGCATTAGTGGGGTTGAGGGTCGCTCCACTACCTTTATAATTTCACCATAACTAGATAGCAACAGCTGAATGAGTGACGCAGCAGTGGAGCAATCAGCCCCCTCTTCTCTAAAGTGCAGGTCACCGTACCTGCCTGAGCAATTGCCATGGTTACATACAGAACAAAAACAAGGCTGTACACGCTGTGTGGGCGAGCAAGGCTGATTGGTCTGTTAACTTCTCTCTTCTTTCAGGCTTTTACAGTGAAGCATTGCGACTCAGTGGCTGAAACACATGGTTATTTCAGATCAACTCAGGAGCTTGCCTGCTAGAAACATAAAACCTGGGATAATTCTGACTAACAGAATAGTTTCAATAGGTTTTTAACTGCATCTGAAGGGAGATGCTCGTGTGTGTGGATAGCCACTATGATTTTGACATTTATGCAGAATAAAATATTTTCTTCAAATTTCTGTTTTAAACTGAAAAACTTTTTTCTTTCCATTTTTATTCATTATACACAATCCTCTTAACAAAGACAAATGTTATCTCTTTTAAAGGTTGTTGTTCTTGTGGGAAGCTTTAATATTCAAAGACATATAAACATATAAATACTGAGCAAAATTTAAAAGAAGAAATATTTTGGTAACAAAAAAGCAACCTTTCAGAGAGGTCTGGTCCAAACTTAAGGCTAAAGCCCAATGCTCCACAGCCTAAGCCACACCTACTACTTGTTTTGCTGTACTTGGTGCTGCATATTGAACAGCATGAAATTATGTAGTTAGGTGTGAAATATTACTCAAAATGAAATAATACAAAGATTTTAATCTGCAGGGACCTCCATTTAAGGGAAGTTCTGGACTAAAACTGTCAAGTTTCCAGTGTTGATGTGTTTACAGTCCTGTTGTTTTCAGTCCTTAATTCTAGTTTTTGTTTGATTTCTTTAAAATAGCAAAGAACAGTGTTAAAGTATGCTGTGAACAGGTCACCATGAGTGAGCCTGCTATGGTAACAGAGACTTGGGTGTTCTTGTAAGCAGTGTGCGTACAGGGATACCAATATGGTGCTGAAATCTTCCTCATGATTAATGATGATGCCTGGACAGATCACAGCTGATAATGGTAAATACAACATGCTAGCTCAAGTGTTGTGCTGGTTTTAAGCTTGCCTGTTTGAGTTCAACAGCTATGCAAATGTATTAAAACAGGGCAGGACTGTAAGTATCATTATTGTAGTATTTATAGCTTTACTTGTTGTTCTATTCATTAGATCTGTATTTAATATTTTCATTTTTAGTTTTATATATTTATAGGTCACGTCATTATTTTCTTTCTTTCTTTTTTCAAAGCAATTTTTGTATTTCTATTTCTTATTTATGTCTTACTACGTTTACTATTCTATTTCTGTTTATAAAGATCTGATGTATTAATTTTACATAATTCAACATGTTTATTTATATTTTTTTACATTCAGCTATGCACATGTCGCTGTATTTATTTATCTCCAAACGTTGATTCTGTTCATCTGGACGCAGCGTTTTCAGGAGAGACGTTTCGTCATTCATCCAGGTAACTTCTTCAGTCTAAGCTGACTGCAGGGTTCCCCAACTTTATAAATAATCTTATATTTTGTATGTTAAATTTATACATTTGCTTATTTGTGTCTGAGTGTTCATAAGGTAAGAGACACTAGCCTGACCTCAAAGCCATTGATTGTTGTTTACAAAAGGCTAGGTGAAGAATTAGCATGTGTAGTTGATAAGAATTATTTGCTTATGTCTGATTCACCCAGAAAAAACAAATTCTGCTTTTGACTGCGATCAGGACTACCCAGCTAATTCACATACAGACAGAACAACAAAGAAATTATATAAAAGGAAAAAAAAAAAAAGAAATAACAGAAAAGTAAAAATCACGAAATAGCCACAATAATAGTTTCTGTAAGGAAAAGACATTTTAATTCAATGCTCTCCTCATTTCCATTTTTTGGTTAATTTATTTATTTCTGTATAAAAGTATTTATTTATACATTTATTCAGTTATAATAAAAACATTTTTCGTCCCACACAGAAAACACAGCAGCTATCACACTGCCAGATGCTGGTTAAACTACTAGGAATACAAAATATAAAACACAATGTTTTAAATACATTTGTTTATTACTTAATTCCTTCAATGTGATTCAGTTTTTTACTCTGGAAAATATGATAAAGAAACTCTCTTTAATTAACAGGACATTCACTGTTACTGTACTTGTCACTTCTCAACAACATACATAACTCAAGCTTATTAGCCCTCAGTATTAGAATAATGATTAAAATATAGGTCAAATTAACCTTAAACTTTTAACCTTGTGCTAAGCCTGAGACTAGAGTTTAAGTTAAACCTGTTTCCACACACAGTTTGACTGAACCTGAGTTTTCAAACAGCTCCTACCTCATCCAGTGACACTCCACAGACGTTCAGCTGAATCTTATGAAGAGACTATAAACAGGATATGCTGTTTGTTCAGGAAACTAGCTGGAAATAGCAGAGGCTCCACCTGTTACAGGTGAAAAACTAACAAGCCAATGTTTGCTCACAGTTTGACTCACAGTCTCCACCATCCTACAGTAGCAAATGTGAACATGCCCTTCTTTCATTTCTGCTTCCTTAACAAGAGCAAATATGGGTTTACCTCTGCTGACCACTTGCTCAATTTGCTCTTAATGCTAAGATGATTCAGAGGCTCTCAACCAGATCCGAGCTGGTTTGAAGGATTTACCCTCTTCAGGAAGCTCTCAGCAGGTCTTTTAGAATTCCTGTCAGCATTAATACAAATTAAATAATTACATTCATCAATATTCAATTTAAGAATTAGGCTAAGGAAAGAAATTGTTACTAATGAAGAAAAACTCTACGCAAGAAATTCTGGAATCATCTTGTTTTCTTCCACGTATAAATTTGAGGGTTGCAGGGGACTCGTATTTATCCCAGCCATCATAGAGCGAAAGGCACAGAGCACCTTGCATGGACAGGTCACCAATCTGTTGCAGGGCTAACCTTAAACCACTCTGGTGATTCAGTGATGTGTTGCTGAAGATAAAGGTTTGACCAGGAAGGTCGTGAACAGTTCATGTGGCAATAAAAGATCAAAAGCGGCAGTCGGGAATGAAACCCAGCGGAATAACAAGAACAATGTGCCAAAGACCAGTGGGAATATGTTAGCTATTAATACACTGGGACTGGACACAGGTGAGGATGGGTCAGGTGCAATAAAACAGGTTTTTAAACAGGTAACTGGCACCATGTTAGCGTCTTCCCAGTTGATCAGGTCTAATAGATGTTTTCACAGCAGGAACTCTGGTGTGGTAGAGGCCTTTGTCAAAGTAGGCAAGGCACAGCTTTATTTAGCAGTAATGACAAATGTATTCCATCTTGACTAAAGTCTGCGTCATACAAATGTGAATTTCAAAAACATTAATCATGAATCAAATTACAAGCTTTGGAATTTATATAGTTTAGAAAATAAAGTAGGAGAAGTAGCACAGTTGTTAAAAATCCCATCTACTTTATATTTCTAACCGAGTACACAGTATTTGATTTTGAAGTGTTGTCTTCAATGTAAACGTGGCTCATGGTCATGTTTGCAAGACAGGTTATGGGACATTAAATAGAAGTTAACCTATGGTAACCTTTGCTCTGCGTGTTTGCACTGTTTGACAAGTGGGAGGAAGGAAAAAAGTTTAAGTGGGTGACAAAAATGGGAACAAAAGCTGCACCCTGAGTATCCTGCACTCTGTGTTTCTTTCTGAATTTCCTCGGAGGTGGACTTTTTCATAAAGCTTTCGCAGCGTTAACATTTTTTAATCGTGAACAGCTTTGTAGCAGTATGCGGCTGAGTCACGCAACTCCCTCTCGCCCACAGAAATCACTGGACAAATACAAACTCTCCCACGTTCTCTCTCTGCTGCTGAACACTTTAATTGGGGTCAAACTGCAAACAGGAGACGTGTACTCTCTCTGAGATGTTTCTAGTTGAGACAAACCTTGAAGTGTGGCAGGACTCACTGGCTAGTAAAACTTAAAATTCAAACACCACAGTTTTGCTGCTTCTCAGTAAAATGTATCATTTTTGGAAGCTGTCCTGTGAATTTATGACAAAATATATATGTGATAATTATGGACCCTGGCTCTCCTACACGAGTAGGCATGTTACTGTCATTGAGTTGTCAGTCTCTCACCGAGGCCCTGGCGGATTCCAGCCCGTCCTTTCTTGCGACGACCGTGTACCTCCAGGCAGGGAAGACCGCCGACACGTGAGAAACACAGTTTCTTGTTGATGAAGAGGAAGAGGACGGCCAACGCCACGATGAAGACACCCACCGCCGACAGGAAGCCGATGGCCTCTGGGGTGACTGGCAGGAGCAGGGAGAGGGAGAGGGGACACACAATGACACACTGATCAGACCACACAAACAGACAGCCTGGATACATGCGCACACGTGCACACACACACACACATACATGCACGCAACAGTACGCATGGTACATGTGATACACACAGACAGACAGGTGAAACTTTAGTAGTTGAAATATCTTCAGTGCCTTGCTCAAGAGCAGAGTCAGTGTAAAAACAGTTTCACAGTTCTTTCCTATGCTTAACCAGCAAATCAAGAGCACTGTGACGCTAGAACTGTAAGGTTTGAGTTCAACATTTTTTCTTCATATTTCGTCATATTTTAAAGAAACCAGTTCTCGCATCATAGTCTGTGCTGGTCCATTCTATGCCAATTACAGGTCAAAGTTCATCGCTACAGTATGGTTGTGTCCAAAATCACTCACAAATTCCCTACTCCCTCTATGAGGACTTCTATGAGAAGGACCATGTAATGGTGAGCCCATTACCAGTAAGAAAAAACAGTAATATGATTTGAGTGATCTTTTTGGAATTTATTACATGTATGCTATTTTTGTGAAGTATTTTGGAATATTCCAAGTGCACTATATAATTTATATTCACTATGAGATGGGACAGCAAAACAATAAAAACAGTCTATGGTCCAGAGACTAGTGAGTGATTTCAAACACTGCCTGTGTTGAATGAATAGCAGGATAAAAGTGCTAGCATTAGCCTAACAGCTAGAATCTGGCTAAGAATATACAGTAAGTAAGCTAGTTAGCTGGCCATGCTAACCACTGCAGCTTGCATGTGGTGGGGCAGGTGTGGATGACAAGAGCTACTGATTAAACATCATTATGGTCTATG